TTACCCATTCGAACAGAAATATAATTGTCTAGTCACTAGACTTTAGTGCCTATAACTTATCATTAGTTATTCTTATTACAAGTGTGTATGGTTAAAAATATTTTTTCTCTCTAAGAAATTTCCTTAGATAATGTACAGTTTCTTACCTATGATATTATTTTATCGCATATATTTTATAAACTGGATAAAATTATTAAATTTAATGGTTTAGATAAGAAAAGTACGGAATTCGTATTATTTTTGTACTTCATATCGGAGCCATTTCGGCCAAATTATTCTATACACCCCGACCGTACGCCCGTACACAATTTAGAACATTAATCGGACCCAATTCAGATGCGGGCATTTTTATTCAGATAGCGACGATAGGGACGTCTTGTTCGAGTACTTGCGGGAACGTTTTATTTTCACACACACGCTAATCGTTCGAACTGCCGCCTTCTCTTTCTGGGTTTATCATTTTTCAAACCGGTCCGTGGGAGAGGAGCGCAAAGGTATCGCGAATTCTAGAGCTTACTGTTCCCACTTCACTATCTCTTTTGCCCGTGTTCACGCAGGTTCGCGAGTTCGCGACTTTGTCTTTTGACGTCCGTCGCCAACGAACAACGACGCCGAACGGTTCAGTTCATAAGTGTATAATTATTAATTACTCGTGCGACCTGTACCACACGATCACCGGCGTAAACGCTTTATTCGATTTCCGTTTTATCGACAATTTAGTTTCGTTGCGTCATCGTCGCCTTCAATGTCATCACAGTTAAAAGTGTATGGACATCGGTCGCGTATTGCGAGTCTGTCACTACTGACCACCATCATTTTCAACTAGTCGACTTACCACGTGATTTTGTGTATATGGTGCACATTTCGACTGTGTCGCCTTTTGTCATCCCATTGTGCTAACTTATTGTGTCGTCAGTCTTTTTTTTTCTGTTGGTTTACTCGTGCCGTAACGCGCAACAAGCCACCAAATTAAAATAATCATAGTAATATTATGAATATACGCCGTTTGCGCCGCCGTTGCTGTCAACATCGCCAGATCTGTGGGCCGATCGCAACGTCCGCCGGATTGTCATTAACGCCGCCGTTATCGTGTGACTCATGTTTGAACTATTAAGGATCTCCTAAGAGTCTTAACCCTAAGGTAAGTGTATCAGCCGTCCGGCACTAAACAAATTATTTTATGCCTATTCGACAATAATTATGTAAATTAGTTATTACGCTATGTATTACCAGTAGCATTAAGACGTCTCGTCTTTGCTGCCCGTTGACTTTTTGTGTATATTATTATTTATTATTGTTATTATCAGCTGGATAATAACTTACTGTGAAATACGCATGAATTATTATTAAGTTCAAATTTATCGATTTGATATTCTTGTCGTCTACCACGTATGTTTCTATAGATCTACCACATAGGTAAAAAATGTTGTTAATGGATACAAATGTAAGATTTTAATTTATTAAATAATACACAATTACAGTAGTATTTTGATAATACGTGCCACAATCAAATCCATTACATGAAAAAATAGATAAAAAATATGCATTATATGTGTTACAATACAATAATGTGTAAAATTGACTATTTTTAATATTTAAATCATATTTTAAAATCTCTTAAAAAACATTCAAACGTTTATTATATTAATATAATATTATTTAATAATAATCATTAACTACGCACATACAGACATGCGTACTTAAAAAGTTGCCTATATTAAATTCCTTAAAAACTTCGCATATTAATGTTTCGCATATTGTTTTTGAAATAACAACAAATATTAAACAACATTTTTGAAACCTTTTACATTTATTTGCTTAAAAACGTTAACAGATGCAAAATAAATATTCAACGTAATTTATACTCAAATTTAAGTTTTACTTAAATACTTTACCTCGCATTACTCGTATTTAATATAGTTAGTTAAGCATAACGCGATTTATTTTATGAATAAAATGTTATTTAAAAGTTTTCATTTATTAATGAATAGTGATGAATGTTTGTTGAAACGTTCGATACAAGCTTCATTTTAATTTATGTTTTAAACTAAACATTTAATGAATTCTCTCAGATAAATTTTAAATGTTTTAATTGCTTTCACCCAACAATTATCATGTAGCATTTTTAAAATATTTGGACTATTTTCCAGCTATTTATAACCATGAGGAATTTTCAACATTTTTAAATTTTGATAAAAAAATATTAATTGAGTCAAAATTCTTGAAAATTTAATGCAAGATCTTACAAAAATTGTTATTATATTCGTATAAAAATATTAAAAATTACATGGATATGATTTTTTTTTTTATGCATTTGGGGTTAACATTTTAACGATATTTGTAAAAATTGCGAATTATTTTGTACTTAGAAGTTCATATGAACTTTTCTTATTCTATCTAATTTTTAAAATGTACCTATTCCAAGATTTCTCAAAAGTAGTTCATACTGTAATTATAAAATCTAAAAAATATGTAAATACAATTATGCGTTTTTTTATAGACATTTGATATTAAAATTTGGACGAAATTACTTATTTAAACGATAAATAATGATGTTATCTGTTTCATTGTAATTTAAAAAGTTAGTAGCTAATGGAAATTCAAAACTTTTACGTTTATTTAACTATTATGAATTTCACTATATAGTATGATATTTATGATTTATTTTATGATATTATTGTTTATGTATACTATGAACCTTTTTTTTTATTGTTATACGATATTTGCTGGATGATGTTATTGCATTATGAATTATATAAGTTGATATAATATTAGTATAAATGCATATCATAATACAAATTGAATATTAACCACAATGTAATAAATACAATATTTTCAGAAAAAATTGAATTTACCTATAATAATTTTGAAAGTAAAATAAATTACTTCAATAGCTTTATCAAAAAAATATAATGAGAAATATACAGTGATATATGCTGACAGGGCCGTTCTCACTCATAATCGTTTTTCGTATAGGTACAATGCTAAATTAATAAACTATATTTGAATTCAAATTGATCACACACATAGCGATGCACTCAACACCTAATGTATATTAGAGTGGTATCCGTTTGACTATATTTTTATTTTTGTTTTCTATAGTTTCATAATATACATATATGTTTTTTTTAACATTTAAAATATTAAAAAAACTATTTGAAACTTATCACAAATTATTGCTAGTTCATATGGAGAACCTAAAATTAATTTAGCCTACTATATTACGAAACTAAAAAATAATCAGTTGTAGTAATATATGATACAATTTCCTAAGAAATATACGCTGATAGATCCATATCTACTCAGAATCGCTTTTCATTTATTAAATTTAATTAAAAATTAAAACAACCATTAGATTTACTTACAAAATGACGAGCTTCCACCGGATACTTACTGGATAAAATAGAGGTAGGTACCTACTTTTTTTTTGTTTAATTTTTTTGAAAGGAGTATAAAATGTATAAATTAATATAAAGGAACATAAGACTGTAGCTAATAAATAAATACACGAGCTAGTGCAGTCGAAGAATGTACAATATTTATTATATAAGACAACAATCTGTAATAAATAATATTACAATATAATAAAACAGAGTTTGGATTCTTCGACAATTTTTTCTATTTTAATTGAAGAATTAAGCTACATTAAAAGTTATTACAAAGCCAAAACTATTTTTGTATATATTTAAACTACATTGCAATACTAGTGATGCAGTGGCATTTTTTTTTATTGTTATACAAATTTAAAGTTGTTGAGTGCAGTCACCAAAAATTTTTTCTTGATTCAAGACATTTAAATTCATATTACTACAGTCGTGATAAATTTTTATAGAATTAAAAAAGCAATTATTAATATTATTATTTCTTATTATTGTACTGTATCCATCGTGTTATTATATAATAATATTTTAGATAATAATTAATAACCATTGAATTATATAATAAATTATAATGTATAATAATATAGATATATAGCTAATAAGAAACATTAGGCATATCCTTACACATACATACATTTAATTTAAAATAATATTATAAATCAAAATAATAAAATACTAAAACTAAAATAACACTAGCTACTATAAGGCTCTACTAGTTTCTACTACAATACATTTAAGTATTGTTGTAGCAGTAGTAGCCTTTCAGAATCATTTAACAATATCAACTTTACGCGTATAGCGTAATACATTAAAATAAAGTACAAATATAATTAATAATTAAAAACTTCTATCTAAATTTAACCCAAATACAAAAGAACGCTCGAATGCTACGAATTCCCGTGTACGTACGAATATAATTAATTGTTATTTGTTTTTTCTAAAATCCATGGCTGGGGGCAGCACTTAGTTTCAAAACAAAAAAAAAAACAAAACAAAAAAGCACACCATATAAAACCTTAAGATAAAATATAAAAATATAATATATCACTGATTTGAATTTACTTAACTAAATATTATACCGATTTTAGTCATATACCTTAAACATTCTTTATGTAACTTAACTTAATATTAAACCTAACTTAATAACTAATGCTTAAAACATAATATGCCATATAGAGGCATGTCTTATACATGAAACACTCTTATGGCATCCTAAATTTAAATAGATTTATTCACATCATAGCCAAGACTGGCCAACACCATTGCGTACGAAGCATAATAATGTTGGCGAGCTTTAAACGCTTTATAATGAAAAAATTAATAAAAAATGAAATAAAAGTCAAAACTATCTATAACTTATGTTAAACTTATCAAATGCTATGACTAAAATACCACATACTCATTGTAGTGTTAGCAAAGGATAAAAAAAACTAAATTGACCTTAACTGAGCTTTGTTACTAAACTTTATGCAGTTAAGTTTTTCAAAAATATAACAAAAGGATCAAAAATTAAACAACATAAAAATAACATTAAGGATATTCTGTATGTAGATCACAGATTCAATTTCAGATTTAATGAACGTTTTGAATAAAATAATAATAAATATAAAATAAAAATAATTATATTTCACGTACAATAAACAGTCATTGGCTGCTTACTTGTAGGCATTATTGATAAATTAACAAGGTAACAAATAACAACTAACACTGGAAAAAAAATTTAGAAACGGGTTAGTCCCGAGAAATATCGTTGGATAATTAGAACGTTAGGTCAAACTATCACGAAATTATACTCGAGAGTCAGAGGAATGTGACTGGTTAAAATTTAAAAAGACTACTTAAGAAATACTCAACATTTTTTTTTTTTTTTATTTTGAAAAAAAAATGAGAAAAAAATCAAATTAGTTTTTGGCTGCCCGTCATATGGTGGTAATAAAGTTGATAATTTCTAGGATTTAACTTAACATTATAATGAGTTAAAATATCCCCTAAACTGAGTAACACACACACAAAAAAAAGTTCAAAATCAACCTTAAACATAGTTAATTATCAATAATCGAAAACATAATAGTTACTCTTAAGGGCGTTTATATCAATTTAATATATGCCCTAATCCGATAATCTCTATTATTATTTCAATATTTTCATTTGATAATCAATAAATTAATTCTAATCCATAAATTTTAGCCTTACTATTTCGTTTCTTATAAACTATATTTAATATTAATCCTTATTTCGAAACATAAAATTACACACAATCGCGATACAACTGTAATGTAGTGGTGCGCGGCATTATATCCGAGGAAGTGACAAGATGCCCATGACGGATCGTTAGTGGCGATGGTATTATATAGACTGTGCTGTATTATAGCTGTTCGACTATTTGTCCGTAGCCGCAGTAGACTGTGCTTCGTCTCGCTGCTGTTGTTCTTTGGCCTGCCTGCGCAAAGCCCTTGTCCGAATGCTCAACATATTGTTCATTACTGTCCGCGCCATCATCGACTCGGATATGCTTTGGGCGAGTTCGATGCCTTTCACCTAAGAGTTAGAACGAAAACTTACATTAAAATAATAAATTCAACAACATCGGTGATATCGCGAATGCGTTGGGCAGATAGTCACCGAACGTGGTTAACCTATTGTATACATAGTTTTTATGATATAGACGCTCTGATCCACCTCTTCCACCCACATCACCATCCCATCCCGCCACAAACAAAACTTTATAAAACACCACTTTTACACGAGGATTACATTTACCAGTTTGAACGATACACATTGTAATAATATATTTTATGACAAAAAAAAAAAAAGAAAAGAAAAAAAGTTGTAGCTTACCATCAGTGAGTGCGGCATGTAACCAGTGGTAACAGTTTCCAGTCCGGTGGTCTGAAGTGCCGACTTGACAAAAGTGTCCGGCGACGGGACCAGCCACGAGGTACGCGCGATCTTGCTCATTTTGGTGGCCACGTAACCAGGCATCACGCACTGCACGGTGATGTTTGCGCCGTGCTTGCCTTTGCTGCTGTACTCGGTGTTCAGTTCGAGGCTAAATTTCTCAACGAATTTCTATAAAAACGACCAAAAGTCGAGAGTTATGATAGTGAATAATCGATACATCGCGATAATAATAATAATAACCATAATAATATCATGTGTCGATACATAGCAATAATAATATCATATTATGTCGCAAAGAAACGTAATGTACATCGCGTACAGAAGCCGCGTGCGGAATATTCGGTACGTAAGATTTACACATTTGATATGCATATAATGTACCTTTGATTTTAGTTTGTAATGAGAAAACTATTGATCGGAAAGGAATTATTTCGATGGGTCGCTTGAAATCTCGTAACAATATCATTCGATTCGTTTTAATCGCTCCCTCCTACGCGTACACCCGATAGGGGAGGGGAATCACCTCCCAAACATATAAACATTATAAAGCTTTAAGCGATCGTGCTCTGTATGCGTATACTAATTAAACGATAACCTGCCTATTGGCCGATCGGTGATCACCAATAACGATAACAACAAAAAAAAATGCGCAAATAACAATATTATCGTAATATACGCGACATAATAACGTGAGACTTATTACCTTGGTGGCCCCGTACATCGTCAACAGAGGGCACGGGATTCGGGACACGGTGCTTCCGATGTTGATGACGCACCCGCGCTTCCGGTCGACCATGCCGGGCATCACCAACCGACACATGTTGACCATGGACGTGATGTTGCACCGGATCATGTTGTCGAACAGTTGCGATCCCCATCCGGCGGAAGCGGCGGCTTTGCCACCGTCCGCGTCGCCGCACCGGTCTTCGCTGGCCTTCAGGAAGAACTCGGGGTGCGGGTACGACAGCCCGACGTTGTTGACCAGCACACCCACCTCGAGCCCGTGCAGCTCTCGGCCAATGTGGCTGTACACCGCGTCCGTGTCCGAGTCGGTGAAGTCGGCCCTGACGCACTTGACGCGGCGGCTCGGGTACTCGGCGCGAATCTCCTCGGCGGTCGCCTCCAGTTTGGCCTGCGTCCGGCTGACCAGCACCACGTCCATGCCGCGGCCCGCCAATTGCCGGGCGTACGCTTTGCCTAACCCGTCCGTGGCACCTGTCACGACTTTAACAGAATATATCGCGCGCGCGCACGCGAACACACATTTTTATACACGCGTTGATAACCTTAACTAATTAAGTGCATTCAATGATCTTTGCGTGAAGCACGTCCCCTGATGAGACGTTATCGACACGCAATACAGAAAACGGAAACCAAAAATTTGTAACGTAAATAATAACGGCACACGGTACAAAAATATTATATCATCTGTAGAAAAAATATTTATATAGTCTTAAAAAAATAAATATATTTATATATATATATATATATATGTTTACTTAAGAGCTAATTTTGAGAATCTTCACTGTGAAGCCTTTTTCCGTTAACACGAAAGTGGTGACGAGAATTAAGGGAAGGGGACAATATTTGGGAGAAAAAAATTGTTTCAATTAAAAGAACATAACCCGATACAATATTGTGTAGTATATGATATAGTGTAATACACGCATACAATACGAATCGACATACACGGATGAGGGACGATGTTTACTATCTACTAAAATATATATGCAAACCATTAATGACTATGAAATCTGCACCAACCCCCGCCGGTACGCAGACGGTCGCCAAAGGCAGAATTTTGTGACAGCAGGGGCAGCGGTTGTTGATTATTTCATCAAACTCAATATCAATAATACAAAAATATATACTACTCTACCTATATTATAATGATTATAACTCATGACGGTTCAATTTACATGGCCTAGAACTGTACGTCATCGTCCATATTCATCATGGGCCATTAAATACTAATTAAGCTAAAAAATCGATGTTTTTATCCAAATATCGTAAACAATAGGTTTATTACATTATTACTTTGTCTAACTAAATACTTTGTTACTACTGCAAGTGCTGGAAACAGAAACTGAAACGTTGCGCATTGGAAATACGCAAAATAAAACGAGCTAAAAACTAATCGAAAAATTTAAATAAAACTTAAAATAATAAAACAACCTGCATTTTTTTTTTAGAATTTTTATTTTTTTAATTTTTTCTACGCACGTTGGTTGCCAGAACTCCGAACCAGAGCACCCATTTAAGGCACGCCGATCAGTCATGATCAGCGACGGACAACCACTCGTCACTACAAATTTTATTTCTCTTTCAAATTTTTTAACCAATGACCAAATTTTACAATGGCGGTTAAATTAATTTTTTTTTTTGTCATAGATCTACAAACTACAGTAATTTTCATGGTAATGTAAGATCTCAAGTATTTCAACTCGTTTTAAAAATTGGATCCTAAGTGCACCCCACTAATTAAATATCTATAGAGCATGTTTCCACCTTTTGGACGGAAAAACTACTAATTCACTATGCCCGAAATCACTACGTGAATTATTAAAAATGTATTAATATTTAATAACTATACAAATGACGTTTGAATAGTTTTTTTTTTTAGTATCCTAGCTAATAAATCGATTCGAACTGATGATAAATAATACGTACACGGGTATAATAATACTCGAACAAAACGATGCGTTCTCTGCATACATTACGTAACAAAAGAAAAAAAATAAACAAAACAAGACTAACATCTAACGTATATAATATTATAATACATCTCTTATGATTAAAACACACATTGTTGAATATTTACAGTTTTCGTAGACATATCCTGGTCGGCTATAGGTTGTTGTTGGGCTGTTGTTGACCATCTGAAGATGACGACGGTTTTGGTTTTCGCTTGTTCGAAAACGAATTGCTCCTACTGCGGTACTGCGATATCGCTTTGTCGCCGGGTTCCTTACGAAACCGCCACCGCCGACGGTGATGGTTGCCGACACATCGATGTTCCACATCAATTCGTCATCGTCTAAAGGTTGTTGTTGGGCTGTTGTTCACTTTCCGAAGATGGCGACGGTTTTGGTTTTTGCTTGTTCGAAAACGAATTTCTCCTACTACGGGACCGCTGTCGCTTTGACGACGGTTTTACCACGAAGCCGCCACCGCCGACAGCGATGGTTGCCGGCACATCGCTGTTCGACATTATTTTTTTGTCGTCGGCGGCGGCGGCGGCGGCGGCAGCGGTTACAGCGGTTACAGATGTAGCGGTTGTCTCAACAGTTCTATTGGCAACAACAGGAGTGTCGATAGCTTGGTCGGACTTTGGCGACTGTCTAGAAAGTTCTAGTAACGCCAGTGCAGTCTGTGACAGCGTAGCGGTAGCGCCGCCGTCGTCGTTTGATGTCGGCTGCAGGGTCGACCTAAGCGCTTCTGGTGGTAGCGGCGACAAATTAGGTCGCTCGGCGACTGTTTCGGCGGTTGCTACAACCGCTACAGCGGAATTAGCGCTATTGTCGGTACTAAAGGCGGGAGATGAACAAGGCAGCTGCAAAGACGGTGGATGAGGGGTTGTGAGAACGAGAGGACTAGCGGGTGACGTGGACTCAGCCAGCGGTAATTTCGACCCCTCCCGCCACTCCTCTTGGTAAGTGATGCGTACGCGAGTTTTGGGCGGTGACGGTGAATAAAATCGTGGTCGGCGGGGGTCGCGGGTTCGACTGCGGCTACGGTGCTGAACCTTCCTTTTCGGCGGCACCAACAAGTTTTTCGTATTTGTGTGCGACGATAAACTATTATTCTCTTCTGTCCGTCTACTATTACGTCGGCATGGAAGCTCTTCAGTAATAGAATCTTCTGGATCGTCAGGTGCGGGAGTAATGATGATGATGGGTATCGAAGGTTGCTTATGTTCATGCGTTGCCGAAGAGTTTGGTTCCTGTTGACTTTTTGACTGGTCGTCGTCGTCGTAGTTGTCCAACTGTCGGCTGGGGTTGAGATAAATTTCATGAGTGTCCCGAGTTGAATTTTGAGAATCGATCGTGGAAATCTGAGTGACAGAAGTTGATATGTGTGGTGGTTGTGTAGTTATTCTCCGCCTAGAAACTATTTCATTTGCCACTTGTTCTGCCCGCCGCACTTTCGCTTCTACAGAAGTTGACAAGTCCGAAGCTGACGATTCTATAAGGTCGGGGGGAAGTGGGCATAACATTAAATTCCAAATCGAATCCAATATTTTTTGCAGGTCATTGAGTATATATTGTTGCCTGAATTTTATGTATGGATTTTCATTAAAAATTTCTGTTCCTACCGATGTATCTTTTTCTCCCGGTCTCGCTTCTTCCGTTTGACCTGAAGTCGATTCAATCGTTGTTTTGTACAGTGCATCAGCCATTCTTGTAATACCGTGAAATATTTCGGAGTGCGTTGATGACAAAGCTCTTGACGCCGTTGCAATTGTTTGGGCAACTTCCCTCAGAGTAATGTTTCCGTGTAAATTATTAATTTTTTGATTCACACGATCGAGGTTAGTACACAGTGGTTCAACAACTTCATCTTTATCACAACGATTATCAGTCACTGTATCCGTTTCAATATTGGTCACGTGTCCCATTATAGTAGCATATGAAGGTTCGGATACTTCTACTTCAACGATATTACGGATGTCAATTTCTTGATCCCGTTCGATCGAATACGTCGATGGTAGATTTTCGCTATTATTTTCAAGTTGTGTTTGACAAGGTGTTTCGTGAATGCCTTCACAAATATTTTGATAATTTACATAATTTTCATCAATAGTTAAACAATCGGGTTCACTGTCGCTATCTACCTGAATAACTTCATCGTTATATTTATTAACGACAACATTTTCATTCAATGAACATGATGATGTAGATGTAGAATTTTTTACACCGTATTTGTTGTTCTTCTCAAAATTTATCATTTGTGTCGATGTTGTTGATTGACCATCACCACTATAAAACTGATGATGGATTTTTTTGAAGCGATTTCGTAGCTTCTGTCGCCGTTGTAATCGTCTTTGATATCGTGATATTGACCTATTATAGCTATATTTATGTTTGACTCGTTGATTAACATACGCAGGTGTAAATGTGTTGTACGATGTCGATGTTTCAGATACACTCGAGCATTCAGAATCGCTATTTTCGATATCCTGAATAACAAAATCCAGCTCATTGGAATTTATTTCTCCATCGGGACCTCGAGTGACTGAGATATTATCAAAACCAGTATCATGTTTCAAGAGAAGATTGTTTATCCATTGCATGTATTTAGACACTGAGTCTATGAGATAATTTAATTCACCGCCACTCCAAATATACATAAATTCGTGTGCTGACCTTATGGCATCAAAATACCGGCGCCGCAACGTCTGTACTCTACGTAATAGCTGGTCATTTGATATAGGTCGTCGTATAGTTTGGGCTCTTGACATCCGGTTGGACCTAAAATTTGTTCGAATGTATCTTAAACTATCGCGTTTTTCCTCAAGATATAATATATTATCATCACTTAAACTTTGTCTATAATATCTTAAAATAACATTAATGACACGCCTTATTTTATATTTAAGTCGGTGAATACTGTAGTTGAACGTTAACCGACTCATTTGTTGCTCTTCGTATATTTCATCATCATCCGAATCTGGTATTATAATAACATCATCTTTATCATTACTATGATCTTCTTCGTTATTATGATCTTCCTCGTCACTATCATCAATGGTGAGTACAGGTATAACCGAGGAAGTGGAAGAGTTCAAGCGGTCGTGGTCAGATTTATTTGGTGTGTCATTATTAGCTAAATTCTGCGGTTGTTCAACTATGATTTTATCATCAGTTTCTTCAACAATAGTCGTTGGTGTCACCGATGATACAGACGGAATAATTTTTTCTTTATTTACCTCCGACGCACAGCAGTTATTGTCGTTTTCATTTACAATATGATCCATACTAAAATCTTAAATCTAAATAGCACCAAGCTTATAGTATTACAAAAAGCGTTAAATAATAATAATATAAAAACCTTTATAATTTGCAATCAATAGATGTCTTGTCGTGGCGCTACGGCGGTTGACTTCTGTACAGCGATATGTATAATAACAGTATATGTATAGTTAGCGAGCGATTAGTAATCGATAAATCGGCCTGTATGTACGAACACGAAAGTGATAATAAAACGAAAACGTTAGATTCGATTAAATAATGTTACGTACTCGAAGAATATTCATAAAATGGTAATAAAACAACAGTTTTATCGTACGGAACGTGTAAATCAACAGGTGAAATTCGATATCGGTGATGTCGTGGCGCTACTGCGGTTGTTTTCTGCACTTCTATATGTATAATAATAATATATAATCAGCGATTGGTGATCGGTAAATCGGTCTGTTTATACCTAAGAACACGAAATTGACGGTAAAATTAGAATGTTGAGGAAAGACAATTAATATTATGGACACGAAGAATAATCATATAACAGTAATCAAAATTGTAAAATCATAATCTGAATATTTATGTGTATTTAACGCGCTAAAACCGTTTTTATTATTTCAACGTTTTAAAATAAAAAATGACGTTACGCACGCGCCTTATAAAATGTATTTCATGAATTCCTAGAATGAATCGACCGGAACGGTTGTCAAATAAGACGAAGAGACGAACACGGTAATAAGCCACGCATACACACAAGAAATACGTTCGAAAGAATGAACGATGACGACCGAGGTAACCAGAAAGGACCTAGCTGGCTTGACACCCCATCGCCGATCCTCACACCCTACCATCAATCTCCTCACCCAATCGACGAGCTGCACGACGCTGGCGCCGTTCTCGGGCAACGGTTGTCCGACAAGAACTCTTGTGTTTGAAAGATTCTGTTCATGATACCCCGTACCGCCGGCCGCCGCCACACCCATCTGTGTATACGAGCGACCCCCTCACAAAACACTAGATGTCCCGCACTCGTCTGCCCACCAATAACTATCTAACCCTAATGGTAAAGAGTGAGCGAGGTATTGAAGAAGTATACAAAACACTTACACAATAAAAAAGAATTGGTAAACTAAGGTGAAAACAGGTGTTTCGAACTCAATTGACTTAGCCACGAAAAAACTATCGTCAAGTCCTAATGACCAGAGTAGGTAACTACACATGACAGTAAATGCCACTCACGTAGGTACTGACATACGCACAACTACTTTTACATAGTGCGCAATATGTAAAATAATTATTATTTTGTCATATTATATACTTTACGACTGTGTATGGGTACCAACGTATTTCCCGTCGTTAATGTCTCCATAATTTTGTGACTTATTTTTGGAATTAACATATTTAAAACTTCAATTGCTTTAATGAAATTTGAAATGGATTTTTCGTGTTAATTAAGCCTAAGATACAAGAAAAAAAAATAAAATAAAACAAAACAAAACTAAACAAAAACTATTTTTAGTTTACTGTAAGCATTAATATAGTTGTCAATGTATAATTGCATACGTTTTATTTAAAATATACACCTATTAGTATGTATAGGTAGTACCTACTATATATACTCAATGGTAATACTAATTTATAATGGATAAACAGTATAATTAAAATATATTCTAATAATACGCACACTATGCAATATATTTTATCACAATAGATATATTGAATTGTAAACACTTAACACGAATTACACAATAGGTTGTATATTTGTTTAAGATCAACTGGCTACACTAATTTTTTAGTAATTTTTCTGTAATTTTGATAAAATATTCATTTTAAATACTTTTAATTTCAAAACTATTTATAATACAATTTTTTTTTTTTTTTCTTAATTACAACCTAGGTATATTTTTTATTTGATATTCAAAAACAGAATACTTTAAAAAAATTATTTAATTATAAAAGTACCAAATTATATAAATTATTTTGTAAAAATGAAATTAGTAATTTTAACAATCGTTAATTGACATGTGAATATAATACCCAAAAGTTACACGAAGTTTATAGTATAAATTTATTCTCGTATCGTGGTAACCATCCAATTTTATGAGCAGTGGTGTGACAGTAATGATAAATAGTCTAATGTGTGAATACACATTTCTCACTGCTCATTGACGATTGACACAAATATTAAATTTAGAAAATGTCTAAAGAAATGTTATTATTTAAACACATTAAGCTCCAATCCACACAATGTTTACATAATTTTAAAAATTCTCTCATCCATCAAAAATATTTTCTGTATTAATTCGTAAAAAAATATATCAAGTATAAAAATAAAATTTTAATTGAATCTCGTAATTTGGATTAAATATATTTGCTATTGATTATAAACTTAATAGCTTTAAGAAATCAATATTATTCGTTCATATTTAAAATTAATGCAAACTAATTAGGTATTGGATAAAATTAAAATGCCTAGGTATTATTATATTATTATAATGTTGTTTTTTAAGTAGTAATTATTTAAATAAAAACTTTTTAGCTATATAAAAATTAAAAAAAAAAAAAATTAAATAAATTGCATTGGAAATTATTTTAATTATTTTAACATTTTTAACTCAATACAATGCAATAATCATTATAGATGAAATTTTATTTTTAGATAAATTAATTTTATTTATGTTTAGTAGGTATTTATTTATAGGATATTATTTAACACATTATTAAATATAATTATTATTTAAGAATTAAATGCCAATAGAAACTATAAACAATGCATTACAGAACGTTGAAATATAAGAATTGTGATCAAAATAATGTTAATAAAATACTTCTATGAAATAACTATAATATTATATTGCACAAAGGCTATAAATTACCATAGAAAAAACTGGTTTAAATACGTTAATACACAGTAGCAAATAAATAATTATCAGAAAATTTATTTCATTATTTATAAAATAATTCTAAAATTCTAATTTTTTTTTTTTTTTTTTTGTGTGTATGTGAATTAACAATTTAATTTCAAGCATCTTCAAATTATTTAAAAAGTATTATTTTTAATGTAAAAACCATATAAATGAATAGTCACGTCACTTCCGTAATGGAGAAATAGAAAATAATATACGCAATCTAATGAGGGGATGTATAAATTAATACAGACAAATTAATTGTGGAAACAAATGATTTTTTGATAATGTATAGTTTAAATGCATCAATTAACATGATTGTTGAGAATTAATTTTGGTTTGTTCGTTTTATAATATTGTTAATTATATTATAACTTATAGGCGACAACACTACAAATCAAGCGTAAGAAATTAGTGTAGTCTTCCATAATCGGAAAATTATGGTATTCGAAGGTTATTTTAGTAAATATGTAACTTATAAAGTAATAAAAACATATTTGTGTGTCTTTTATTAATATATTATAGTCCTCGACTACCTAGAACCTAACCGGTCGGGAAACTTTATCCGTGACCAATTCATTAAAATTTAGTTCCTGTCATAGGCGTGCACAGACCTTGTTGGCAAGAGGGGCAGAATATGTTCATATATATTATAAAAAATTATTATATATCTTAGGAAATAAATAATAATATTATGTTATGTAATTATTGAATATTATTTTGGTTATTAGTTAGTTCAATTAATAATTAGTGACAAAAGTATTTTAATTTCATGTATCATTAATATAATTATTTATTTAATATAATAATACTAATGATATTCAGATTGGTTTATTTAATTTTCATATTTATAATTGTTTTTTGTAATTTCTTATATTATTATAACTAATAACACATAGATATTTTTTACTTTTCCTATACATTTATATTTGTATTTTTATTTTGTTATCATAATTATTTAGATATTATTATAATTTAATATTTTGTGATTATTTTTTACTGTCATTTATTCAAATAGATTTAAGTAGCAAATATAATAACTATATAAAATTTGTTATAGGGTTCATCCCGTTTAAATAACTAATAAATAAATGATTATTAAAATTTCACAGTTTATTTATAGTATAATAATAAATATAAAACAAGAAAATAAAATATATTTTTTACGATTTTTAAACAAAAAGTTGTTATTTTAGCTTTTCAGAATAGCCATTATTTTTTTGGAAGGAGTTAATATTTTAAGTGGTTCGATTAAACCGTCAATGTTAATATTATATAGACCAATTTTTGTTCAATTAACATAATGAGTATTCCATCTAGTCAATCCTGATACATATTACATTGTAATTTTTTTTAAATTTAACTTAATTTTGAGAACATCCTTTTTTACGAGAATAAAATATAGTTACAGAAATAGTAACAAATGTTTTACAAATATTTTTAACATTTTATATATATAATTTAATTTAGTTTCCCTTTCACTGCCAAACTCGGTTAGCCATCTTATCCACGTGCTACATTTTTTTATACTTCTTTTGGGTAAGTACATTATCTGTATGTTGAAGTACATTTATTTCACTTTTTAACATTTCAGCTACACAGGCCTTAAAGTTGTGTGTACTACGACACACTTTGTGTAGTCCAAAAATTAAATGTATACTACGAAATTCAAAAATGTGTAGCAAATTATAATGATTTTTTCTATATTATTATTATTCATTTTACATCACTTATTATAAACGTTTAATTATAATATAGTGTTTAGTACGAAAAATAAAAAAATTTAGGCCCTGCAGCTACAAAACCTAAGGCTTTGGTTAAAATGAATATATCATTGCTGTCAAAATTTAATAGCAATGTCTTAAATCGCATTCAAAATTTAAATACAAACGAAAAAGTCATGTTTTTGCAATCAAAAACACAAACAAATACAAAAGTTGATAACATTATATTATATTGTTGTGATTTCGGCTGGATCACTGCCACGGCATATAAATCGCCGTGATTGCCGCATATCAATAAACACTCGTTATCACTTGCGGTTGCAAAGTTAGATTACAAAAAACACCGTGCACCCGCACGTAATGTTTACATATTATTCATCATAAAAAATTATAAATTTGGAAGAAAAATTTAGCCCATACGAGGGGCAGCAGCCCACCCTGCTCCCTCTCCATGCAAAAGTTCCAATGGTTTCTGTTAACGTGTTGCAATATATTATATTATGTTAAGTTGAAATTTGCTTGCATTCGATCCATATTAATTAATACGGTTCTATCCTTTTATCAATTATTTAAATTTCTAACATAATAAAATCAAGTTCTGCGGAAAATGACAGTTATGAAATCGTCAAAATACTGCAATTGCCTAAAAAAGATTTCGAATGGTCGACGAGAAAACATGATATTGTATTTCAAAACGATTTTGACGAATAAAACAAACGCGTACTATAAAGGTACATGCCATATATACATACATATATAAATTATAATACATAACACTACCGTTGAAAATCATTATTCGTAAATATGTAGGACGGTTACGGGACTAAGTCGATTTTATAATAGTATAATACTATATAATGATACACATTTACTGACTGGTCGTTTGTATTATGTTATTGAAAATCGAGTCTCTCACTTTAGCTCATTCGTCACGTTTTATTTCGAGTGAATAAAACGAGTGACCACGGCAGAAATATTTTTAACATGTCAGATAGAAATACAGTACAAGTAGAATACATTATAGAACCTAGAACGTGTCAATAAAACAACGAATTATTTTAATAATTTATGTGCATGCATAAGTTTCAATTAAATCGTGTCGCATATGTATTATTAATAATTAATTATAATTAATTCGAGCTTCGGAGGTTAAAAAATTAACTCATAATGCAATAGTGATTGATTGACTGAATATCCATCGGTTTGTATATTTTTTTTATAATTAGATAGTAAACGAATAATTCATACTGTTATTATTTATACTCGTGCAAAGCTGCTCGACTCGTGCATAGGACAGTGACTGATGAATCATTTTAATACGTATTTTAAATAATGATCTAAATAGATTTGAGAAAATGTTTAAGTGTATACAACCGGTTATGCTTATTTGAAATATTTTTAAATAAATGCTTATGATTTGTTACGAATGAATTAAATAAATAGGTACACTGAAAATAATTGTTTGAATTATTTCGTCTTTGAATTCATAACGAAAAATAACCATAAAACTTCAACACTGCAAAATTAAAAATTTACGATAGGTTAGGTACCTAACCTAACCTATGTAATGCTGTCATGCTGCTTATCGTGTTACTTGAAAAGATAATATTTCTAAAATTCGAAAAATTATAATTTTTAGTCCATAATTTGTTGATATTTTTTATTCCATCAATAATAATATTTCAATATTGTTTACTGCCATTTCACAAAAACTTTTTGGCAACGGTTGTCGAAGAACATAGTATTATTTTATTTACAATATTGAATTAATGCGTGGCACAACAATTTTCACGAAGCAAGCCTGCAGATAGCTATCGAATTATAGAACATTATGTTAAGTTCTTATCCACAGGCGGCACATTCAAAATTACGGTCGTCGAAAACCAACGGTATTTTCGACGTCTACCTACGTTTGAACGGTTGTTTTTTTAAATTTTTTTTTCATTCGACAATCTCTATCGGCACACGAATATAATATTATGCTAACATAGTGTTGTACGTATAAAAATTTAAATACGTTATAATGTTACAAATCAAGTTCCGGTAGACCTATGCCCTCTGCCTATCTCTACGCTGTACGAAACGAGCGTATAACCTATAATATTTATTATTTCCAACGATAAAATATATCAATTTATCATACCTCACACAAACAATAATGTATATATATATAAAAGAATAAGTACATACATCTATACAAGTAGTATTAAGTAGGTTTAAATGGTATTGAACTGATAAAGGGACGAGTGCTCAGATGATTGTCCAACCCATCACCGCCGTACAAATGAGTGGAATAGTATATAAGCGGCGGCGGTGGTTTCCGATAAATTTTCACGTGAAAAAAACAAACTAGCGATAAAGAAGCCATTAGCACTAACATAAAAAAAAATGATAATAATAATAATAATAATAATGTATGTGTGTAAATATTTCGTCTTCGGTTACAGTTCATATCAGTATGAGCGTAATGTCGATTCGTGTTTATCGTAAAAAGCACAACGTAACAATAAATTATTATTATGTGTTCCCGTCGCCACTGATTTTCCGATTCATATTGCGTGTCGATTCAGGCTCAGTATAAAATGTAAACTAATATTATAACGTTACGCAGTGGCGTCATTTTACGTCCATTATTTTTGACATTTTTCCGAGCAAATGTAATTGTTTATTAATACCTCTTAATTATAAATGTAAACAGTGGACATAGTTCGCAAGTGTGTTGTCACGGTCACGCAATAGTAGGTTATCGCGTCAAGACGGGCGTTCGGCAGTTACAACTATTCCGTGTGTTCAGCTTAAAATGTATAGATTAAATGTGAGCTACGAGTGTGTGTAAAACATTAATGTCATATAAAAAAAAAAAAAATACACTCGTAAATCGCTCTTGAAAAATTAAATATCGCAAAAAACCCGAACGAGAGAACGCGCGGATGTTTCTCACGACAGAGTTCCGTCAAGCAACCGGTTCGCCCCCGTTCCACGCCGAAACCACGGAAAATCGTAACCGTCGACGACTACAAGACTACAAGATGCGACTTCCTGCCGCGTAGGTAGCCAAAAATATCTACGGACGAAATGACGCCACCGCGGACCGGAATGGATACGTACCGGCCCACTTGCCACACTTGACGAAGTCGATGTTGCCCCGGCACAGGGCCGACGGGCCGAACACGTGCCGGTACGCAAACTGCATGGCGGCCCGGGTGAGGCGGAGCACGACCAGAGCGACGAGCAACAGGCCGAGCTTCTCCAGCACGCTGTTGGTGGTGGACGTGGACGCGGTAAGGTCCGCCGTTGACGAAGACATGATGGTTGTCGTGTGCGGCTGCTAAGTGTCCTGCTGCTGCGGAAAAAAAAAGGGGGTCGGTTTTTTACGGCCGGCTCGGAGAAATTCGGAAATTAAGGACGAAAAGGTCGGTCGGTCGGGCCGTTACCGCGATTTCACTACCGATTTTTTGACGGGGGACAGGGGTCTCGCCGCGGATTCCGAATTCGGGTTGTTCGAGGGGGAGTAGAGTAATACGTTATATTATTATATACGTCCGATTCGGATCGGTTGGACGACGTCGAGAGTCCGGTGTGCCGGTGGTGTTGCTCTGCTGACGGTTGCCGAGTTGCGCGGGACTTGCGACTGCGGCGGCTGCAATAATCGCGATCGAGATGTACTAATAATAAAACGCGGGTATCGGGTTTCGGCGGCGGTCGAGTCGCGTTGGAGGTGGATGGGCCGCCGGAGGAGCGGTGGTGGTGGAGGACGGCGGCGTGTCGTGCGGAAAACGCTGACCACTACCATCGGACTTGTCGTGCAGCGGTCGCGCGTACTTATCGGCAACACGATAATAATATAATATCACTATTTCCGTTGCATTCAACATTATTATTATTATTATTATTATTATTATTATTATTTTTTTTTATTTTTTTTTTTGTACACGTCGTCGTATACCACACATACCGGTTTGACGTCGTCGTCGGCGGCGGCGGGTGCGCGCGCGTACGTACGTACACGTACACGGGCGTTCGATTTGAACGCGGTCGTACGCGTTTATGGTTTCCGTGTTTTTTACGCGCGGCCCGACGACAGAACCATACGCGATTCCTGTTTTACGGCAGCTGACCGGGTACGACCGCCGGACGATCGTCTGTAATATTACTCGTCCGACTGGTATTTCGGTATTTCGATTTCCGCGTACACAATATTAATAGGTAATGTTGTTAAACGTACGGGGTGGTGCTGATGTGGATTTACTATATTCACCGAGCACCGCTCGCCCACCTTTTTTTCGAAAATTACGCGCTCGGGAACTGTTGTGACGCTTTTTGAAAAAGGTTTACTCGTCCACGTCGATATCCACCAATACATAATATAGTTAATAATTTTTATAAAAACTGTCCGATTATAATAAATACCATGTCTGTTTTATATTTTTTAAGACCGTTGTCAAGGGCTAGTGTAATCTATCGTATAAATATTTTACGCGTTGAGCAACTGCTCGTTCGAATTTTGTACTAGGTACATCAGAATTTTCGAAATAATTACAGTAACAACAATGGGTTCTCATTTGAAAAACAGAGGTTTGTACCGCCACAAGGAACACTGTTTGTGAACAGTACAATAAATATCAAAAATTCGAAAATATGATCTTTGAGTATATATTTAAAAACGCCTTGTATCAGAATTTGAACGAATTCATTGTTGAAAGACAAATGAGATGAGGACGAGCATCACCCTGTAGAATAAAATAATGTTATTTCTATCGTCATTGTTATACCGCGTGGACGTTCTGTCCTCTAAAACACACTCGACAGGATTTATTTAATATATTATCGTGTACAGACAGATTTTAATAAACCCTAGTGCAGACAGGCGTAGACTGGTTAAAAAATGTAGATTATTTAAAAAATATTTTATTTTGATGTAAAAAAATATAAAACACGTTAAAAACGTAAATAAGTGCTAACTAAGTTACAACAAACATTCAATCAAAATTAAACAATATTATATAAAAAAATAGATTTCCAGAAGTTCTACAGTTGAACCTATAGTAAATACACTAAGGCTCATTTACACGAATAGTGGCAAATATATTTTAAGGCAAGTGATGCTCTAGCATTCCAGTCAGTCCGCATTTGAATCTGCATATGTTATACAATGTAGACCTAATTTTAATTACCACCATGATGTGCATTACATAATTATTATGGCTCGAATTTTTATGATATTTTATGACTTTTTAGTTAATACATCGTTACGCAATTCATTAAATACCAAGATTAGATTATTTTTATGTATGAGTGAACGTTTTATGATACTATATTATAGTATTTATCATATTTTATAGAATGTTAAATAAAACAGTTAATATTTTTATTTGAAATGTCTTATTAAATCGTTGATTGTAACGGACTAATTTTGAGCTAAAGTCGGGACGGTCAGATAGTTAAATTTATAATTTTCTGAATAATGTATAACATTAAATTTATAGTTTATTATTATTATGTTATTGTAATGTTTTACATAACAGATCAATACAAATAATTTACAATTTGATCATCTTTAGAAACCTTTTATAATTGTACAAAAAATAGTATGAATTATTGTTAATACTATACTATATACACTTGAATACTAGATACATATTTTTTGTATCATTTTGAAATTATACAATATTTGTTGCGCATAAACATAAGCCCAGAGCACATATTATATACGCATTGTTAGTTGTTATCATTAATTATATATGAATCATGTATAAGTAGTAAGTACCTATAGGTACTAGTATGTGTGGTTTAGCGGTGGTAACTGACAGTTTAGGCAAGGTGGGCAGTTACTTACAAGGCATACTAATAACGCAGGAAATCTTAATGTTGCAAAAAACATGTTTTTTATTCAGTTATTCAAAATAATAATATGAGGAAAGCACAGTCGATTTAAAAAAAAAAACAAATATTTAAAGTTAAATTAAAAAATAAATCAAATTGAAGACTTATAATATTTTATATAATGCATTTCTATATTATTATAATTGAAATTCAGAAAGTAAATTCAATCACGGTTGATGCAGCCTTACTTTTTGTATTGAAAATATTTTCGATAATATTAATGAAATATTTAAAATCATTTTTATAGTTGAGGTTAAATCTACTTGCCCTCAAAGCTCCTTTTATACTTCGCTCATGGAGCCTTTAAATGTCCACACATCGATGGCATACCAAGACTATACAATTATTCACCTGGCATATAAGTATTTACTATTTTTATTAAATATAATAAATACTATAATAGTATATTATAATACAGTACGTAGTCTACTCGTTACCACGAACTACTAAAAACCAATGGTGAGTACTAACCGCGCATAAAAGCGGTATTAACTTCGCGTTGTATTAAATTATGAATCATATCGACTGTCAAATTTGGATCGTCACGCGTTCTGTTTAACCCTACAATGCATGGTGTTGCTTCTCGGCAACAACCGATAAAAATGGTTATAATCAGATATTTATCTATGTCAGTTATTGTATATTAGCTTTAATCACAATCAACTATGATAATATATTACATGATTTACTTTCAAATCGATAGATGGTAGTATATAATTAGAAAAATTAAACTATTTATCGATAGACCGGTACATACAAATGTGACAATATTCTGGGTTTTTTTTTTCAATAATTTTTAATTGTTAAATATGTCTATGGATAACAATAAAAATATAACAGTGTTGATATATATCTTTAAGAGTAAAATAAATGGAAAATGTTTTGGATTTTATTGTAATTTTAACTTGATGTAAACCATTTTTTCAAACTAATTTATGTTAAAAATAAAACTAGGAAATGCACAATTCGTTTGAGAACACAAAAAATCGGGTGTGCAATACGATTTTATTTACACTTTCTTTTGTTATAACTTATACCTACGCTGTACTGTACATTTTGAAGATTGTACAATATTCGGGAGGTATCAAAAGTAGAAAAATTGTTTTGATAATATTGTTACCATACGATCGATAATCGTGTATTAATTTAAAAATAATTAAGACTAACGAGCAATTATTAATGAAAAAAATGAATTTGGCTTACAGCGTTCTGGTTCAAAAAAAACATTCCATTCCAAACACTAAAAATTATTATTGTATCAAGTTAGTCCTATGTAAGGCTTTTATTCTACTGCGCTCGCCATATTGTTTGTTACCAATATATGTTATACTGCAGTAGTCGTCGTGATCAACAAAACATGTCTAAACTACACCTGAACAATTTAAAGCTCAGCGTTGGTGGATTTGATCTCATAGCGTAATGATGATAGATAGGTGCTATGTACATTGGTATTCACGTATCTAATGAATTGTGATAATAAAAAATAATTATAATAACTAAAAGTTATACGTACGTGTAAGTGCAATACGAAACGACCGTATGCGTGGTCATCGTATCGGTACGGTGTTTTGTTACGATTAATGAAGTCCATTAAAATATTATTGTTATTATTGCAATACGTTATTGTTACAGTGTTCATTACGCGTACAACGTCGTGTATGCTGTACACGCGTCTGTGCGCGTGGCAGATAAAATCACTGGAACAATGCGAAAATCGAATATAACGATGTCAATTAACACAATATATATTAAAGTGTAGTGAATTGTTTTATTTAAAAAAATATTTTTTTTATGAATATTTTTATCATTACGAAAAGATGATAAGCTGATAGCGGCGCGCCGCGTGACGGCGGCGGCCCAGCAAAAAGCCGGCCGTCGATCGATACGACGTCGGCGGTAGCGTTTTAGCATCCGCCACGCGCTCTCGGGCCTATTATATTATTATATTTTGTTCAAAATCGCGAACAATAATGTAATAATTACCAATAACTACACGATATCCAGGGGATATATTTTTAAATTTGCGACTTTTTTTGAGCTATTTATATGCATTAGGAATATGCAATTTTTTTTCTAAATATGTCAATTAAACATTATTTCCTGGGTTAAAACGTTTTGACATGTAATATAACGCTCCACATTTGTGGTTAATTCTTTAAATTAAAAATAAAATATAAAAAATCTTTAGTAAGAAAATTTTTTAACATATCTTAAGTTAGAATATTTACAAAATTTATAAAAATTTCAAACATTAGCTAATTATTTTGTAATTGGAAATTCCTAACAACTTTAGATCTTTTATCTAAAATTTTAATATTTAATACAATGTTTTTTTGTACATTTTTTAATTTATATGTATAAAAATTGTTTACAACATTGGATATAATATATCAACTAGTAAAATAATTATTTTCTTCATACAATTTTTAATATTTTGTTATGTTTCAAAAAAAAAAAAAAAAAAAAACAGTAGATACCTACTTGAAATTCATATAAAATATTTGTATTATCATTTTTATCATACGTTAAAATTTTCAAAAATATTTTACCTTATTTTGAGCATGCTAAATTTTTAGTTTTTTTTATAAATGTTAATAAGACATATTCGCTAGGTTAGTTTTTAAAAATTTAATACAATATTTTTCATAAGCAGTTCATACTGAAATCAAAAAATCTTAAAATATGTAATGACAATTATTTTTTAAAGAAATTTTAAGTTCAAATTTAGACGAAATTTCTTATTTAAACGATAAATAGCAATATTAATTATTTTTTTTAAATTTAAAAACATTATTCATGTGAACTTAAAACTTTCATAATTAATGTTTTTTTTATATATAAAATGTTTTTATTAATCAGTTGGGTTACAATCCAATTAACTTTCCATAGATTATTTTATTAAATTTATTATTGATAATTGATATGATATTTTCCAAATAATCAGTAGTTTAGTAAATAAGTAAAGCATGAATTATTATACAAATAGTGACAAATGTGATACCAATTGTATATTTTTCACATAATTTTTTTGTACCGTACAGAGCATGGTTATTATATGGAACATGCATTTTTATTTGATTCCTTGTTAGAGATTTCGGACGTATAATCCAATGGCGGACATCGAAAATGTATTAAATTATGTTCTTGTACGTAATTATTTTGGTTACTAGCGCATTTAGTTACCCAGTCAATGACGTATTTTATTTGTTTCTCCGAAATTATTGGCCCAATACCGAACATCACACGAGTCCGTTTTTCAGGACGAAGTATTTTAGCGTCAACGTCTTTATCCAGTAACGGTTTATCTATTAATTTTTCTGGACGGTTTAAATACTCTTCACATTCCTCAACCGTTTCTTTATTTTGATTTATAAGTTCTTCCGGCGTGTCTGTGAACTCAAATTGTGCGGATTCCGTTAACTCGTGTAATGATAATAATTGATCTTCATCGAATTTATTGTTATCTGTCAAAGATACAAAATCATCTTTGGACGAAAAAACACTGCTATTATCAGATTTGGAATGTATTGAACTTTTTTTTAACACCGCCGAACGATTACTTTGTTGATCAATATCTGAGTGACGAAACCCTTCTGAATCGCTACTATTTTCGCTACCCGAGCTTCCTTTATCATTAGTTAAATAAATATTTTCATCAAAGATCTGTTTGGTTATATTTTTATTATTGTTTTCATCATCTCCGGCATTAATATTCAAATCGGTTTTTTCTAGCATTGAAAATTCAGATTTTAATGACTCACTGTCTCCTAATGCTTCATCTGCGGCATTGTCAATATTTGACAATGGATCGTTTGTATCACTAACTAAAGCCATCATAACAATAAAATCTTTGTTTATTTCAACTTTTGCCAAACTGTTTATATTATTTTTGTTTTCTTCATTCATCTCAGATTCTATATCATTCATATTATCTTCATATTTTATAATACTTATTTCATTCATGTCTTCAGAATTTATCTCAGTATAGTCATTATAAATGTCTAAATTTTGAATATTTATATCATTTTTCTCGTAATTTGATTCTGACAATACTAAAGATGAAGGGTTACCCACCATTTCTTCATAACTAAGTTCACCTAAGCTCAGATTTTCAGCTTTCATTTCTGTCAAGGAGTCAATTGAAATTTCTGATTGTTGATCATTGCATATCACACTTTCGACACTAAGTTGTGACAATATTTCTTGATCATATGGGTTATCTTTTAATTTATTTATCAACAATTCATATTCTTGATCATCACAAACTGTAGCAGTCATTGGAGTATTAATAATCGGTGTATTTAGAATTCCTGTTAATGATTCTGGTCCATAATCCATATTTACGTCATGCCAAACCATAATGCCATCTGCTGATGTACAGTTGTCTAATAAATTGGTGGTTGGTTCCTCAAATTCACTGTGACAAGAAAATTCAGTATCCATACTACAGATTTGAGAAGACGAAGAAATAAGACATTGGCTAACATCATAAACAGTGTTTTCTTCGTAATTTTCCGTTTCAAGTTCAATTAATGAATTTTCATTTGATGATAGTACTATAGAAGCACAATCAAGCCTTGCTAAATATTGATAAATGTCCACAAATACTTCCAATAAAATACCGCTTGAATGATCTGTAGACAATGTATCGCACAACAATATCATTGTACCTTTTAGACTATTGGTTAGATAAGCAGCTGAAATTCCTATAAATTCGTTTGATTTGATATTATTTTTAAAATTACCAATTTTAATTATTTCCATAAATATTTTTTTCTTAAGCGACAAAATATTCCACATGGTTTCTATTTTTTCATAAGTTTCATATTCATTAGATAGAGTCTTAGCCAGTGCTTTTAATGTGTTTGGAGTCAAGCCACCGGGTCCTATTTTTTGGTCAGGGGGGTCTAAATATTCTTTTACTGGTGGTTGCTTACCATTAGCTTTCATAACAAAGTAAATTGAAGACCATAAAAGTAGATCTGATGGTTGAGTACGTATTGCAGCTTTTGACCATTCTGTCAAGAGTTTCGACAAATAAAGAGGAATTTCAATCTTACCAGTTGAAACAAAATGATCTTTAGCACCACAACTCATTTGTCCAGACATATCAGTACATCACGTGTACACACATTTGTAGAATATGTCTATATAAATTATTTAATATAGTTAAGTCATGTATAATATTCTTGGTGTTCGTTTTATTTATGAAGTTCTTTCCTTAGCAATTACAAAAAACTAAACTGCAATAAATTGTTTCTATACAAAAGTAATATTTATATTTAATAGATAACAGCTGTTTAATTCGTTTAAAAAACAAACGATGTATATGTGTTTTAAAAATTCAAACTTTAATATACAAAATTTTTGACAATATGCAGTTAACTTGTTTTTTCGAAATCAGAAAAATATGTATTGTAATAATTAATAACTGTTCTTGTCTTATTACAGTAATATATTCTTAATATGTACTTTTAAGGAAATATTTTTACATATTTTAATCTATTTCTCGATTTTATCACATATATTTTGAAGAATTTTTTTCTATTTTTATCATTATCAACTTTCATGTTTGTTTCTTTATCAATGACATTTGAAATACTTAATATAGGCAATAAATATTTATTAATACATAGCGAAATGTATTTATTTTATTACAATAAATATTATGTATATTATGTATACAAACATATTGTATAAAAATAAAATGTAATATGTATGTGTATATCTTTTTATTCTTAAACTATTTACCTTATTGATTCATACGGTAAATACACTCAAATAGTCAGGTTTCAAAATAATAATCAAATAAACGGTGACTATTATGTAATTCTAATTTTACAGTTTTTTAACAACTATAAAGAATTCAGATATTATAAATATTTTAAATAATAATCACCGTATTTAATAAATTATTATTTTAATTAATTTATGAATCGACTATAATTAATGCACAAGTATAAACCTATCTTCATCGTATGTTCGTTGTTGATTTTGAAATATGAATAATATATCAATGGTAACAATGTAATATGTTTTCTATGGCGTTCATTATTAATAATTTTCTCCAATCGTACTTAAACATAGACAGAAAATCAAAAATTTCTTAAATCATAATCTTGTTTTATGATGCACTACTATAGGTATACAACACACTAAGTACATAATCGGGTAACAGAAAAACTTTCTATTGTCGCATAATCATACACTTAATTGTAATGTTGACATAAAGAAATTTTAAGATAAATACTTAAAGAAAATGGAAATTTGGACTAAAGTATGTTAAACTAAATATTCTGCATCATTGATGAGTGTTGACAAATTAAATTGTTAAGTTAATATAAAATATATTGTTTACTAGAAACATTGTTCTTTAGAGACATTAAATAATATATTTGATTACGATGTTAAATTATATGTTCATATAATATAAGTATACTACGGAAAAAAAATTAATTGTACCTACTTATAGTTAGTACAGATAAATAAACTATTCAATAATGGATTGTCATCAATTTATAATCGCTTAAGTGTATATTTAAAAAATATACTACAGATAAGTTAAAAATTAAATTAAAAGGCAATTAAAATAAATAAATATTGATTGGCCTAATTTTAATTAAGTATAACTAACCAGTATCTAAAGTAAATACCAATAAACTAAGTATTAATAAAGCTATTTATTATATTTCATATATTTAAAAATTTAATACGCGTAGAATAAACAAATTGTTAATATAATAAATATAACACATTTAATAAAAAAGAAAAAAAACATTTAAATGTGGTTTAATAACCTATTTTTTAAAACAAAAAATAATGAAGGCAAGGACACAACTCAACAGAGTACTGATGAAGATACGATTAACGAGGAAACAAACCAAATTCCATTAAAAAATGATACGGAACCAATAATTAAAACTGATTTAGAAAAACGAGTTGAAGACGTAAAAGTAATACTCGACAATATACAAACACAAAATAAACAAGATTCAAGTTTAAACTGCCATAGCACTACAGATATTAAAATCCACGAAGAAATAAATCATTGTAAAATAGCAGAAGTCCTAAGAGTTATACCAATTATAGAAAAAAATCTACAAACACTTACTGACAAAGTATATATAAATCGATTTGTTAATAAAATATTTTAATGATTTTTAAATTATTGTAGGTATCTTGTCTATCTGACTTATTTGATATGAAAAATCTGAATGCCAAAATAGTAACGGACCACAATGCTATTCCCAACAATACTAATACAATTACTGCTTTAAAGTCTGTAGATGAATCGAACAGTATGAAGGATACAACAACGCAGAAAAAGAAAAAAACAACATTAGGAAAAATTTCCAAAAAGAGCAAGAAAACGCCAAACAACAAACAAAAAGTAATAAATAAAAAAAATAAAACTGATAAAAAGGAAGATAAATCTGAAATAAATCCTATCGAAATTATTAATCAAAATAATCAAGTAACAAATACCGAGAATTTACCTCAAAGTGTTAAGACAGATAATCAATTGCCCAATTTAGATGGTCGATTAGAATGCTTATTTACAAAAATACAGTCAGCATTGTCGCAATTTAAAATCGATCAAGAAAATGAAAAATCGAAAATTATGGTTCACCTAACAGGATTGGAAAATAAAATGAACAGAAACGAAGTGAACATAGATAAATTAATATGCAATGTCAAACAATTAGGTAAAAATAACGAATACGCAGTTATGACAAGCAAACCAAGTAATGTGGAAAAAGAAACTAAACAAGAATTACAAAAAAGTATAAACGATATTAAAATGTGCATCGATTACCTTATACAACCTGATATACCACTAACTCAACAGTGTATTACTACCGATGCTCCAAACATTAACACCAACGTTAACAGCGCGTGTAACTCGAATCGATGTGTTTGCAAATTAATAGACAATACTAATTCTGATACTTTACAGGTTATAAATTCACACCATGATAACAATAAAATAAAATACGGTGATATAATTTTAAGCGAGTTTTTAAAAGCAAAATTAACTTTGGAAATGATTAAACGGAGTGAGCATAGTGAGCATCAACAAATAGTGCATGCAAATACATTTTCGAATCAAATCGATGACAAAAAAAATAGTAATTTATCAGTATGTTTAAAAAAAACAAGCCATCCGAAAGATGATTGTGTCCAAAAATTAAATGTAGAACAAAATATTAATCAGTTAACTTTATGTCCCAAGCAATCTGTCCATCATTTTTTTAAAAACGATACTAAATCAAACCAACCAATTTCAAAGAAATCATCTTGTGAAAAAAACCAAATTTGTGATTTTCTTTCGTCTCAACCAATCCCAGAATGGATAAGACGGAATCAGAATCTCGTTACATCGGATAATTCATGTGGAACAGACGCCAAATGCCCGCAAACAAATTGCAATTCATATGCTAATAAGTTTTATAATATTGAACGAATAGTAAAGGAAAGCTGTAGTAATAATAACACAGACGGTATAGTTTACGAAATTACACAAAAACAAAATATTCCAGAAGATAATAAGGACCACACTTTCAAAGAACACAATTTAGTACCATGTAATAGTCTAAACAAAAATCCTTGGACCGTGTAAATAAAAAATTATTTGCTAAAAAATAAATATTTTGTAAAATTTAATTCATTATTTTTTTATTAAATAAAAATGAACTTGTGCTCTAAATAGTGGGTCGATATAAGCTAATAAATTAATAACATATTATGTTTATATCATAAGAGATAATATGTCTAATATAATTTTAATTTTTAAGTAAGCATTTAATGACTAATATTTAATAATAAATTATATATCGTTTGATCGTCGTTGGTAAACCTCGTCATGCGGTTAATAGGTTCGATTTTAGAAAAATAATAAGGTAATAGAAAAGTAGTTAGAATTGTAAGTTCGTTGCACATTGAGTAGGAGGATCTCTGAGTTTTTAAGTGTTAAAAGGGAAGATAAATCTAAATTATAGTGTAAAAAATAGTTTATTTTATAAAATTTTGAAAACAAAATCATTTTTCTATCCATATGAAAAAATATTAAATATTAATAATACTTAAAATATTTTATTTAATTCGATTGATACGATAAAATTTTCGTTTAATCTAATCTATTTTGGAACTTGCTGAAACAAAATATCATCACATATTTGGGCTCTTTTTATAAACTGATTGGTACCTTTTAAATTGGTTAATATTTTGAGATTGTCTGCAGAGAAAACTATAAAATGTAACTAATACCTATTGTTTAGTAATATTTATGAGAATAAATATTAATTGTAGAAAAAAATACATTTATAAATAATATAGCTAAAATTATTGTTTAATTTATTATGTTTTCTTAAAAAATGTTTTAATTATAACAATGTTAAATAGGTATTACACTTTCAACATTTTATTTAGTGAAAATATGAAATTGAAAGTTTACATTATTTTTTAATTGGATGTCTTTTTAATAAATTGATAATAACTTTTGTTATTAATAACAATTAACAAGTAATATAATTATTGTTTGGATATTGATGTTATTGATAAAAAATATATTATAATATTATATTATTATTATTATTATTATTATTATTATTGCTCATAAATATAATAATATGGATACATTTAAATAGTTTGGCCATAACTAACGTAAAAAAATAAAATATCTCTCTCTCTCTCACACACACATACGCTATATATATATATATTTATAATCAATCTCTGCGTTATAATATTTAATAATTATTATATTATATGCATCGTCATCAATTATCAGTCATCGCACTACATAATATGTGTCTCAGCGTTTATATGTGTGAACAAAAAAAAAATTCATAATACAGGAGTTAGAACGGAAAGACGGATGACCTGCGCGATAACTTACCCGGCCAGGCTATCGTACTAATCAACGACGTTAGCGTCTGCGAATAATTATGTTTAGAAAAATATTTTTCGATTCGTATAGTATCATGTTAATATAATATTATACTATATAACTCTCAATATTATAATTATGTAACGTTAATCCGTCATCTGCAAGTAGGACGTGAATAGGTATATTATACGTGTATTGTTAACCCCTGAATGCAATCATTGCATCGAAATTATTGACGAAATTAATATTATATTGAGTATACGACACTATCGGTATTTTTAATATTGCTATCGAACAGTAGTGGCCTTACATTAGAGATGAATCCAACTAGACCCACTCGTGATAAACGTATAAATGTTATTTTATTTAATAAACTCGTAAAATGATTTCAATAGACTAACTCTTCCGGATTAATCGTACAATTCTATAGAATTGAGTCCAACTTGTCGCTTCCGTACATTAAACGGAGTAAATACAATAGTGTTGGATCGTGACAGCATAATTTGAGGTTTAACCTAACCTTGCAGATAACGTGTTGTCAACAGTTTATTACGTACATACGTAATGAATGTTGAGAATAAGAAGTTAAGAACACAACACTACATGCTGTAGACGTGTAGTGTGTGTGTTAAACGCGGCTTAAACATGATAAATAATTACCGATAACCGGAGAAAACGATTACTATTTATAAATACGTAATATTATGTATAGTTCAGCATAGGTTAATATGTAAATGTTACTATGATATTATGTTTATTTATACACTAAAATATTATTAACTATGATTATGTTTTACACGTATAATGTATATAGATAATGATTATTATGTATATCATAGCGTGATCAGATAACACGCGGTGAACGAACCGACGACCTAGCGAATTGTAAGTAACTCGTCAGGCCTTTACCGAGACTAACAGTGTTTTTTCTATTACAATTAGCACGGCCGCCGGGTGAGCAATCGGCATTTTTTTTTTTTAAATGTTATTACGTTAACCTATTCATAAAGTACTCGTATGAATAAAAGATATAATTAATGAAAACGCGCGATGGTCGCAGGGAAATAAAACTACGGTGGCGACGAGGACGTGTTAAAAGCCTAATAAAATTGCGACGACGATGATAATTGATAAGTGATAACACATTATAATAAAATAATGATAAATGATAATTTTTTTGACATTGCGAATACATATTATTATTATAGGTGAAACGAGCGCGGGTTATAATATAGGCTTGGCCAAAATCACACGTCACAAGAACATTGTAATCAAATTTTATATTATCGACAATAATCAACTGACGGTCATTTCAATCGAATTTGAGCCTTCGAGTGCATTTTACATGTTTAAATAATAATTGTATTAGGATTTAGGTTGTTGAACTAAGAAATACAATGGTAATTTACCTGTCGATTATCAGTGATTTTGCGCAGCTAACAACTATATAAATAGTAAACAGGAGTCCTATTTGCGTCCCGGGAGTTGTGCGCCCAAAATAAAAGAAACCATAGTAAGGTTGACTGTGCTGTATAGAAATACAATTAGGAATGCTTAATGTGATGTAATTGAAAAATCTAAATGAATTGTTAATGTAATTTATTTTTTTTTTTGTATTTTATTTATACATAATTGCCAAATAAAGTTCTACGTAGCTCGATAACAATCAAATAATTTTAATGGAAAAAACGCAATAACTAATGGTATATAAAATCTACGTATATATTTATATATATAAGTATATGAATGCCATACATTCGATATAAATGTGAGAAGGTTTTTATGTAAGTGTACCATCGCCAAAAATATTAGAATTGTGTAAATTGCATAAAAATATTTAATTAGTTTTGAATGTTATTAAAATAATATTTTATACATTAGCAATGAATGTTTTTATTCGTTAAAATTATTAAATTAGAATTAATGTGTTGAATTGTTTTGTTAAATGGTTCAAGAACTGAAGGTAATATTTTTCGACGTTCGTGGAATATAAATTTCATATTATTGAATGTTAGAATGCTTAGTACTACATATTGTGAAATCTCTATAACGTATTATTTATTCGATTGTAAAGTTAAATCTTTTTATGCTATTCTTTCACACTTACCTTTAACATCCAGTTAGTTGAAACTTTCTTCAGCTTCTGGCTCATGGTTATGAATGTATCTATTTAATTTCAATTGACTTTGTTTTTAAATTATTGGTTTCGACATAATATGCACTAAAGTTTCTTTTAACACAACTCCAACTTATATCTCCTGAAACAAATTTCTATTCACGTTATATTTAAAGCAATAAAAAAGTAAACAAAGCTTCTTTTTTAGCTTGAAATGGTTATGTTAAATTGTTTTTATATAGTAGCACTCATAACTCACTGCTCATGTGCTGACGCAACTGACACATAAAAATATATAACTGATATAACATTACTATATTAATATTTTGATATAACATTATCTTTATCCGTTGGGTTTTTACAATTTCGATTGGCACGACCAGCGACAAAATATAATTTTATATCCAATAAATAGCAACGTTGCAAGATACTCAATCGATTTAAATCCAGTGCATATGGAATACGATAAATGGGTTCCTAGCCTAACCGGGCGCAAATGGGTCACACCGGTAAATAGGTAGGTAGTATTAAATAATATAGTTATAGGCTTCACAGTATTAGATTTTATGGAATAGTTCAAGTCTTGACGTATAGTTATGCAGGGAGCCATTTGTTGAAATCGTGATGAAATTTGTCGCACGCGATAAAAAGGTCATCGTCATGATGACAATTTTATTTATTAGAATAATTATTATTATCTCTATTTTACTATCAACTAAATACAATATTCAAAATGCATAATAGGTGCTTAGTCGAATTTAGTTTGACCTAAACGATCGAATTTTCCACCGATTACTTATTATATAATAAGTAAATTAATACATCAGGCACTAAAAAATCTCTTTATATTTAAGCAACTATGCCCTAACAATATGTAGTAAATATACTCCAAAAATATATATAATCTTTATTGATTGGAAATAATTATTAATTACAATATAAATAATAAAATATTTATGTATTATACTGGGAAACACTTCATACTATTAAATTATTCACAGAAAATACTAAGAAAAACTATAAAATAATAAATATACTAGGTATTGTTATTACTATGTATTTTAGTTAAACTCACTGCTCTGATAAAATAACTTATAAAAATACAATACTTAATTTGTTCTCAGTTATAAGATAATTTAAATGAAAATGCATATGGTTGATTAACCTTTAAATCTGCTAATAAAAATTTATATTATTAACAGTTGTAACATTTAAAGTATTTATCATAATATTGCTTTAATAAGAACATTAAATATCATATTTTAACGGTCTAAAAATTAAGTTAGCAAATACATTTTACAGAAATTAACCTTTATATATAAGGATGCGTGAACAATTTTATTCAAACACATTTTTGTAATTTACTCAAAATGTAATTATTATTGTGACACAAGGATATGGGTATGCGTAATATTGTGAAATATTATTATTAGTACCTCGCATACTACACCAGGAATTGTTTTAGAATATTATTATATATAAGATGTACCTACTTATTTATAAATACTTCACATCGCAGCAAAGTGTATAATAATTAATAAATAATACGGTTTCAAAAACAACGCTCCTCCATTCTTCCAAATACGTATATGTAGCGGTAAAGCCATGCGTAAGACTCTGATATGACAAAATTTTGAAGCATCTAAGGTATTAACTATTAAGTCTGTTTCATTATATAAGTGGCTTATTTTCACATTTTGCTGTGTACATGAAATACATTTCAACAACATCTGAAGATATTTTGCTTCTACATCGCTCGACACTAATGAACGTTAATTTCTTACCTTAAACATAATCTTCTGATTTCCATTACCGGAAATATAATATGTATATAATTTACTGTATAGAGTTTATACATAATATATTAATACATGAACAGATAGAATACATAACAACTACAAAACGACGCTCTTTTGCACTTTATAGTCGAATCGATGGTAAACAGTAGGTACTCACGCATTCACGGAGTGTTAAACTACTTATTGTATTTACAAATTAAATATTGAGTTTAATAAAAATAATAAACGTTGATTGTGTAGCACATTGGCAATAGATAGATTAAAAAATATTATAAATGTACAATATTATCATTCGTTAATATACCATTATTATCGATGTATAACATTCTAAGCTGGACGCATAGAACTATATTTTATAATAAATTTGATCAAGTCAGTTAAACAAAGTTATCAAAAAATAAGAAATTACATATATTTTACACATTAGAATTTAAATAGATACGTAAGTAACGCAATTTTAGTACTTAATTAAATATTATTTGTTAATTTGTTATATTGGAAATTATGTTTAAAAATAATAAATAATTATTAAATAATTAATAAACTGCATATTTTTAATTACATACCGAGTAACAGCGAAGCTATTTTAATTATTAAACATCTAAATATTTTAAATATATTTAAAAATTATTTTATGAAATATGTCTCATTATTTTTAAATAGATTTTTACTTTTATAATTTGGATTTTCTTCCAGATACGATGGTAAGAAATAAGAAATTAACAAAATAATAATCATCATTGTTTTTTAGTTAAATTAATAAAATTTGCAATAAGATTTGTTTTTTTGTCGTTAATGACATCATTATTTTTTATTAAATTATTTTTCTTCTTGTACCTAAAAATTCAAAATATAAATACATTTTCAATATAAAAAAGGTAGGTACTTATGTGTCATTCTATTATACATAAAGTATCGAGTGGGTAACTATTATAGGTTGGTTAAATTCCAATTTTATGACATCATTTCATTGTACACATGAAAAACGTTACTTAGTAGAGACAATCTTATCAACTTTTATTACCGAGTGCCATGTTTTTTTTTTATATTTTTTAAAATCATTTATTTTACTTTTAGTATTATAATAGGTTGATACAATTTTTCCGAAAATATTGTATTTATTTTATTATTTCTAAATATTTAATTATTTTAATAAAATATATTATATTTACTTAATCAATTCAAAATGTAATGTCATCTTTCTGTAAATAGTAAATACCGTAAAAATAGATTCATATAGTACCTATAAGAAGATAATATTTTAAAATTAAAAATGTTATTGCGTATATTAAAATTTATAATAATATAAAATACATAAAATTTTTAGTTTCCATGAATAATGTTTATAAATAAATTATAACAAAATAAATAACATATAGTTATTTATCGTTTAAATAAATAATTTCGTTAAAATTCTAACTTAAAATGCACATAAAAAAAGTATGCTTATGTATTTTTAATATTTCTATACATATGTAAGAATATATCTTAATATTTTTTATGGGATCTTGTATTCAATATTTAAGAATTTCTACCCAGTAAATAATTTTTAATTGTTATTTATAGAAGAAAAATTAAAATAATTGAAAATTTCTTACGTCTATTTATAATTCAAAAAGAGTTAAAAAATGTTGAAAATTTTATCGTATAATGAAAATGATAATGTTAACATTTAGTAAAAATTCCAAGTATTTATTTTTATTTTTATTTAATTTTAAAATACAATAAAATATCAAAAATTATCTGAGGAAAAATAATTATTTTACAGGTGAATATCGAATATTGTGAATATTTAAAAATAAAATGCTCATAAAAATTATTTTAAAATTTTGGTAGAATTGTTTTTCTACCACATAAAAGTTGAATAACTAATAAAAAATTTTTTAAGTTTTTAAATTTTAAGTATGAAAACAAAATTTTTATGAATTCCTAACTATAAAATAATTTACTAATTTTCGCCATTTTTATGAGTTTTGTCAAAATTTTAATTCTAAACGCTTATAAAAAAATATTATGATAATAGATTTTCAATATACTTTAATTGAGAAATTAAAAACTTATGAAGAGTCATGTTAAATTATGTGTAGGTACATGAGTTAGCTCTATGTCGAAATAAATATGTTCACGGCTTCACGCATAAACAATCCACCTATAAAGAATATGTATTAATTTTGTTGTAGGAAATAATTTCATCGTTGCAGATTGTAGTATAATTTTAATAATAACCACTAACGGTGACGTCTAAACCAGTCGAATGAAAAAAAATTGAAGTGTGTTCGCGGAAGACGCCATTCTCATATTATATTTAGTTTACGTGTTAAATTATTTTATTTTTACCTCCGTATTATTATTATTATTATTTAGTATTCAATAATAATCTTATTATGCGTAATGTGTGCAAACAAAAATTATAAAATTACCTACCTTTATCGGTAACCGTATTTTAATTTTTCGCAATACGGGAAAACGAGAATAATTATGGAGGCGTAAAAAAACTCAACTCAATTTTCGTTTCTTTTATGCTTATGAAATATTATCGTATTAAATTGTTAATTGGCTATTTAATTGTAAATATAACAAATGCTTATATAACAAAAAATATTTATTTTAATCAATCAAAAAAATAGTAAATATATTTTTTTAATTAATACATGGGTATACATTAAGAGTATTTTTTTCTATCTATACATAATATAAATCATATTGTATTAAGAAATATGACAAATATAATATATTATTATTAAAATTAGTACGAAACTATTGAAAATCATTATTGTTTTAATTAAAAAAAAAAACTAATTAATTAAGTTAAAAAGTTATGAAAAAAATTACTTTTTAAGTTTTAATTAATTAATACTCCAGAATTTTTTAATATGATAATTTTATTTTAAAAACTGCTCATATGTGTTAAGCTGTAACTGTACTTTTAATATTTTTTTAACTACATTAAAAAGAGGAATACACTACATCTGTATACATAATAATATGTCAGCCATTGCCATATCCATTATTACACACATTATGTATCATTAATTTAGTTATAACCTTATAACACTATTAACTTTACAGTACAAAATGTAAAGATTAATATACTCGTAAACATAGTTTACTGGTACTCGGCTCTGCGCACGAGGAGGTGCAGTACTGTAATATATATAGGTAGGTATTTATAATTTTCGTACTCCTACTGTAGCTTCCTAATTACTACTCAAATAAAATATTTATGAATTCATGATGTATACGTACATAATATATACTTAGGTATAGATAGATAGCAACATTTAGACATGCTTTCTCTGCACAATCAATCTCTTTTCGTGCCACTTACTACAGTGTCCCGATTTTCATCTATATTCAATTTATCTATAGTATCTATGAATGTGTATTAAATAAAAGTCATGATATATATGTCATGCGTGTAAAATATTATTAGGCGCGTTGTAAACGAAGTTTATCTTGC